GTCTGCTCTACTGACTTGCTATTAGCCTTTTGAATTGAATTACTGATGCTACTAATTGGGAAATGCCTAATTCTGTAATTCTCATTGGGCATTTTATTTTCAAGATGCTGTACTGGGAGCCAGATGTGTATTTCACCAGTTAATGAATCTGCTTTGCATTTTGGCCAAGAACTATGAAAGATGTTGAATCTTTTCCCACAAACTGATTCAACAAGGTTTTTTTTCTCCCATGTCAGAAGCGACTTGAGAAACTGCAAGTCACTTCTGGTGTGAGAGAATTGGCAGTCTGCAAAGATGTTGCCCAGAGGATGCCCGGATGTTTTACCATCCTGCGGGAGGCTTATTTCATGTCCCTGCATGGGAAGCTGGAGCTGACAGATGGGAGTTCACCCTGTCTCGTGGATTCGAACCACCAACCTTTAGATCAGCAGTTCAGCTGGCACAAGTGTTTAACCCATTGTTCAACAATTTGAAGAGGCCCTTCAGCTCACTTTAGCTCAGACTGAATTCCAAAGTGGATATCGGCGCCACCTATTACCATCGTAAATTATCCCTTCATGATAGTAAAGTCACCTTCATGTAGCAGTAGAGGATTCCTAGTTCACAAAACTCTAATGGGAAATTTATGACAATATTTCACACTCCAGTTCGTTCCTCACATTAACAGAGGTCGGAATACAGAACCCCTACAAAATTAGGAAAGCCACCAATATTTCTGGGACCATCTTGGAGTGGCAAGGAACTGGAGAGGAAAGACTACACCATTGGATTCTTGGAGAGAAGGGGGAAGTTAATTCCTGCTCTCTTCCTCTTCCCGTATGCCCACATTGCCCCTTTCTCCTGTTGCCAGGATGCACACAGAATGCACTAAAAAAAGCAGCCCTGGAGCGCAACCAAAGCTAGCAGTAGAGAAGCCATGGAGGATGTGCAAGGAGCAGAGTCCCTCTCTGCCCACTTTCCAACATGCCTCTTTCCCTCACAGCCAGGGTGAACATGGTGTTGCCAGGCACAACAGATGTAAGGAGCCTTTGAGAGTGGATGCAATGAGTGTTGGGGAGGCAACAAGTGGCACATGTGTACCTAATCCCTTCTCCTTCTCCCCCTCTGGCAGACACCACTGCCACTGCAACTTCCATCTCTAAGTTGGCTATCAGGAGGAAAGGGAAGGGCAGGGAGGTAGGCTGGTTAGCTAGCAGATGACTTGTATATGAGTTTATCTACCAGGGGAGTAGCATTCAATAGGAGGTAAAGGTAGCTTGGGGTCATTGTACAATGGACAGCACTTCTTTGTGCTCCTTCCTCCCGAAGGCTCAATCTCCAGGAAGGGGCATGGTTGTACCTGCTCCTAGCTGCCAGGTGCCCATTCCCCATGGAGGAATACAGCAAGCTGGGTAGATGCAAGGAATGCTGTGGATGTAGCATATCTGGATTTCAGTAAAGCCTTCAACAAAGTCCCCTATGATCATCTGGCAACAAACTAGTCAAATGTGGGCTAGGCAAAACTACAGTTAGGTGAATCTGTAATTGGTTAAATGAATGAACCCAGAGGGTGCTCACCAATGCTTCCTCTTCATCCTGGAAAGAAGTGACAAGTGGAGTGCCATAAGCAGGGTTCCGTCCTGGGCCCTGTCCTGTTCAACATCTTTATTAATGACTTAGGTGAAGGGTTAGAAGGCATGATCATCAAGTTTGCAGACAACACCAAATTGGGAGGGATAGCCAATACTCCAGAGGACAGGAGCAGAATCCAAAATGATCTTAACAGATTAGAGAGATGGGGCAAAACTAACAAAATGAAGTTCAATGGAGAAAAAAGCAAGAAAAAATCCAAGATACAGAATGGGGGACTCCTGGCTTGAGAGCAGAAAATGTGAAAAACATATTGGAGTCCTCGTGGACAACAAGTTAAACATGAGCCAACAATGTGATGCTTCAGCTAAAAAGCCAATGGGATTTTGGCCTGTATAAATAGGAGTATAATGACTAGATCCAGGGAAGTAATGCTACCGCTCTATTCTGCCTTGGTTAGACCACACCTGGAATACTGTGTCCAATTCTGGGCACCACAGTTGAAGAGAGATACTGACAAGCTGGAATGTGTCCAGAGGAGGGCAACTAAAAAGATAAAGGGTCTGGAGAACAAACCCTATGAGGAGCAGCTTAAAGAGTTGGGCATGTTTAACCTGAAGAAGAGAAGACTGAAACGAGACATGGTAACCATGTATAAATATGTGAGGGGAAGTCATAGGGAGGAGGAGGGAGCAAGCTTGTTTTCTGCTGCCCTGGAGACTAGGATGCGGAACAATGGCTTCAAACTACAAGAAAGGAGATTCCATTTGAACATTAGGAAGAACTTCCTGACTGTGAGAGCTGCTCAGTAGTGGGACTCTCTGCCTCGGAGTGTGGTGGAGGCTCCTTCTTTGGAAGCTTTTAAAAAGAGGCTGGATTGTTATCTGTCTGGGGTTCTTTGAATGCATTTTTCCTGCTTCTTGGCAGGGGGTTGGACTGGATGGCCCATGAGGTCTTTTCAAACTCTATGATTCTATAATTCTAAACTTGGAGACTGCATACGGCGCACCATTTCTGAGGACCAGGGTCTCCATGTGCTCACCCCCATATGTGCATGAACTAAACAAATTATGCAGAATAAATAATTGGGCATGAAAATATATACTGTTCTCAAGTTGTAATTTATTTTTGTTCTTCTATGTGTAGTATTTAATGTAGAATTTGATATCTCTCTCTAATTGAGATTACATGCTTGCCAACCCACACTTTGGGTGATGGGAAGGCTCAGCTAGTGTGACAGTAACAGGCAGGATATTACAGGCTATTCAGGGGTCAGGAATGGCTTCGGGCAATTTAGCAATGCAGGGGAAAGGTTTAAGGCATGCTTGGCGGAGAGAGCAGTTCACTCATTTTACCGCTGACAGTGAGTCAAGGTGTCAGAACAGGTAATGTGGTGTTTTTTGGAACAGGGATTTTGTGAGTTGTCGTACCTCCTTTCCTTGGGGCAGGCACTGGAAATGGAAGGCCAGATTTTTAGGTAATGGCAGCAACCTCAGTTTCAGAGCAGTGTTTCACAAAAATTCCTTTCCCTATGATCCAACCTTCATTTTTGTTTCCTTTCAGTTTCTTTCTTTACGTCTTTACTGTTTCAGAATGTCTGTCTGTCTTTGTCGTTCTGTCTGCCTCTGCTTGAGAGCAGGACACCCTAGTTTGTCATCCTCCCTTGACGTCTTTGGGTGTTTATATTTAATTTGGCTCCTTTGGCCAGTTTTGGTGTCTCTGTGGTTTCCCAGTGGTTGTCTTGATATATTTATTGTCGCCTCGTCTTTCTCCTGGATGACAGCTGTTTCTGCCCTTCACCTTAACCCCCACTCCCAAACACACCCTTTGTCCCTTTTGCACCCAGAAACCTTCTGGAAATCACTTTGGAATGGAAAGTGATTGGAATAGACCTTTGTCTCCCCATTTCTCACTCACCTTTATCATGCTTCAGATCTTCTTTTAAGGGTCTGAAATTTGTGTGACCTTGTTCTGAGGCTCAGTAGGGAAGAAAAAGCAGAGCTTGGAAGTATATTAACTTGTAATTAATAGTCAACCCAAGTAATATATATATATATATATATATATATATATATATATATATATATATAAATGTAATTCTTGTTTGTGGGAAAAACATAACTCAGAAACCAGATAAATTGCTACGAAATGTTGACACAATACATCTAACAGTCCAATGAGTGTCCTAAAACACACATACACAAAAACCAGTAGAACAGACTTAAAACCCCCCAAAATAAACCATATATACTAGGCATGGGCAATCCATGGTTCTAAATGGTTCTAAAGAACTTATAAAACTAGGGGGTGCTGGTGCTTTGCTTCTAGTGTTGCTAAAGTTCTGATGGTGAGAATTTCAGAACTCTAATAAAACTTTCAAATTCTTTTACTATTTCATTATTGGCAATTTTTATGACAGACCCAATTAGGAACTGCCATTTATAACAGAATTTTGAATGTTTTGTTAGAGTTCTGAAATTTTCACCACCAGAACTTTAGCAACACTGTAGAAGCAAAGCACCAGCGCCCCCTGGTTTTCACCACCAGAACTTTAGTTTTGTAAGTACTTTAGAACCATTTAGAACCATGGATTGGCCATGCTACATGCACGCATACATACAGAAACACACACATATTTATATACACAAACACACACAAATATACACATACATACATATACATACACACATACATACACACAGATATGCATATGCACAAGCACACACATATACACAATATACATATACACATATAAACACAGAATATACACACACACATATGCATACACATATAAACACCCACATGTGTGTGTATGTGTGTGTATATGCAAACACACATATATACACATATACACACACACACAAAACACATATACACATCTGGGCCACAACAATGCATGGCATGGGGCAGTTAGTGAAGATATAACTAAGTTACATCAGCACAGATGGATAATGTTATTTCTTTTGTGATTTATAGGAAGGTACCCTCACTAATTATCACGTGATTCAAGTACAGGTTTCAGCTGTCCCTTGTGTGCATTTTGTATTTTTGAAAAAGTAACTGGGATAAGCAAAGAGTTACTTTAAAATTTTAATAATATCAGCTACTTCTTGGAAATGTAAACAATGTACTTTATGAGTAACTTCCAAACTCTGACAAAAACCTATAGCATAGGCTCTGTTCCCTAGGGAAGAACAGATGGTTATTTCCAAAGTGAAATTATTATGTAGTCTGTACCTGTGCTAATTAGAACAAGAGGTCCTCCCATGATGAGGACTGGCCAGTTTATTTCTCCCAGCCCTGTCCAACGAACCTCTCCCTGTCTTTCCTACACATCCAATATCCCTGGTCCTTTTTCGCCACTGTGAGGAAGCTAGAGCAGTGCCCTGACATCCTCTCTGCTTTTCTTCCTTCCTCCCGAATCTGCGTAGATCCCGAGAGGACTAGTGCCCACATGATCTCAGCGGATGATGCAGAATATCCAAGGGAATACCGGACCCTGGGAAATGGCACACGCCGTTTCTCCAACGTAGGGCTGGTGCATACCTCAGAACGCCGACACACTGTCATCGCTGCCCAGAGCCTGGAAGCCCTTACGGGGCTCCAAAAGTCTGAGATGGAACGGAAGCGGGACGCCTTCATGGACCACTTGAAGAGCAAATATCCCCAGCATGCCCTGGCCATCCGAGGGCAGCAGGAGAGGATCCGGGACCAGGTAAGGCCTGCCTTTTCTCCTTTGATGGAGTTCCTTTAACAGCACAAAACTAAGGATGGCCTCTTGGCTTGAGGAACATAACTTATTAGGGGTGTTAATACAGCTTTCCCTTCAAGATTCAAAAGACAATATTGTTTATTACCATGTCCCAAAATTATTTATGAATTCAGTGGGAAGTGCTTGACATTTTAAACATAATTAAATGTAAGATACATTTGAAACTTGCTTTGCAGACAGAGAGCTTCAGTGGCTTAGCTCTTAAAGATCTGTGTTGGCATCCTTGTGTATTCAGTCCAATTTGGGGGTGCTGAATTAGGGTACGCCATGAGATGCCAGGAAGTTATATACAAAGCTGACATCTGGATTTGAATATTTCAGTGGGCTCATTTTTAAAGGAACATTCCAAATTTAATACAGCCGGCCTTCCATATCAAGCATGGGCAAACTTCGGCCCTCCACGTGTTTTGGATGTCAACTCCTACAATTCCTAACATCCAATCAACTTTTAGGAATTGTGGAGTTGAAGTCCAAAACACCTGGAGGGCCGAAGTTTGTCCAAGGCTGTTTTGTATCCATTGGTTCAACATCTATGGATTCAACCATCCATGTCTTCAATTTAAAAAAAAATCCAAAAACCAAACCTTTATTTTTGCCTTCTTATATAAGGGACACAATTTTACTATGTCATTATATATAATGGGGATGAATATCCATGGATTTTGATATCTACTGAATAAGTGGAACCCGTGGAGCCCCCAGTGGCGCAGTGGGGTAAACCCTTGTGCCGGCAGGACTGAAGATCGACAGGTCGCAGGTTCGAATCTGGGGAGAGCATGGATGAGCTCCCTCTATTAGCTCCAGCTCCTCATGTGGGGACACAAGAGAAGCCTCCCACAAGGATGATAAAACATCAAAACATCCGGGCATCCCCTGGGCAACATCCTTGCAGACGGCCAATTCTCTCACACCAGAAGCGACTTGCAGTTTCTCAAGTCGCTCCTAACTCAACCAAAAAAAAAAGTGGGATCAAACATCAATGGATACCAAGGGCCCACTGTAAATAATAACTTTTTATTTTTATACCCTGCCTCCATCTCCCCAAAGGGACTCGGGGCGGCTTACAAAGAGACAAGCCCAAAGAGTACAGAATTAAAACGGGGGATAACGTCCTTGGACCTTATAATGTCAGAATTATAGAGCGGAGGGCCAGGCTAAAGTGCTGAGACTTGGGTAACATTGGGCCAATTTTTTGGAACTGCCTAATCAAAGGCACAACAGAATATCTTCATTACATTCAAATATTTGTAAATATGGGGGAAAAGGGGAAAATGGATATATGTATTTGCCCTTAGTGTTTATGCTGCCTAGCAATAATAATAATAATAATAATAATAATAATAATAATAATAATAATAATAATAATTAGATAATGAGGATTTAAAGATTTAAGACTCTGGCACAAGCCAATAAAGATGGTCCCAATGGTGATTGGCACACTGGGTGCAGTGCCTAAAGACGTTGGCCTGCACATAAACACAATTGGCGCTGACATAATTACCATCTGTCAGCTCTAAAAGGCCACCCTACTCAGATCTGCATGCATTATTCACCAATATATCACACGCTCCTAGACACTTGGGAAGTGTCTGACATGTGATCCAATGCAAAAGCCAGCATAGTGATCTTGTTTGCTGTGTACCAATCTTGTTGTATATCTGATGATAATAATAATAATAAGTAAATAAATAAATAAATAAATAAATAAATAAAGGGCAGCACTAGGCTATTTCTGAGATTTAATCTCTCTCCAGTTGGAAGTCTTTGACACAGTCAGTCTAATTGCAAAAGGCAGTCCTACAATGTGTATGGCCTTTGGATCATGCAATAAAAAGTACTGACGATGTGGATGAGTCTTGATGTCATACTGACAGTTTACGTAGAAATTAGTTTTCAAGTATGCTTTTCTGCAAGACTTGTTTGCTAAGAGTATACTGGCTGATTGTATATTGTAACCCAAGAAAATCAGGAGGGGTACATATTCCACGCTTGTTGGTGAGACATATACTTCTGTTAAGAAATTGTGAAGTGTTGGTTTTCTCAGTCTTTGCATTCATATATGGCCCAATAAACGTGATACAATGTGGTGGGGAGAGGAAGGGTCAGTCTTGAAATGGTATTGTGAAATTTAGTTTCAGCTAAAAGGAAATCTGTTTGAATGACATGAATGTTGAACCTGTTTTGGATCTACACTGACCCCTACCTAAACTGAATTAAAGCAGAGGGAATTGGTCCCTCCTGTTTTGTGGGAAAATAGGTTGTGCAGAATGGTAATTGGGTGGTCCTTGTAACAGTCACAAAGCCTCCTTCCTTCCAACTTGATAGTCAGAATACAGATTGGCTGGCCTTCCTGCCAGTCACAGAACCAAGACTCTTGTGTCTTTCCACCTGGCTGTAGGGATTGTTAATTGGTTGGCCTTTGTGGTCATCACAACGCCACCTTTCCCGTTTTGTCCCCAGCTTAGAGGAGTGTAATAAATCAATAAATGTTGAAAAGAATAAAGACGTTGGGGACTGGAAAAGACCAAAAGCATACCAAAGTTGAAGAGAGAAGTCAGAGCTACGTAAAAGGAGGAAAGAGAAGCAGGGCTAATCCCACATCTACACACATTCCTGAATGATAGTATATGCGTTAGGGTTGGATAGGTTCATTTGGAAGAGCCTGAAACTCGTAAAAAACTTCCGACTTTTGTCTTTCGAAGCAATTTTAAACCATGCAGGAAAGGTGGGAGGGGCAAATCCGAATTTGAACCACTAACCTTTTTTTCTGGAAATATTCCATAATGTTTGGATGTCTCCCAAGGTTATTTTAATTTTCAGAATCATTAAGCAACTTTGGTAAAGCCTAAAAAGTTTTTAAATCTCATGCTTTCCTTCCCTGGTGATGCAAGGGAGGGATGAGGTGGGTGTGGCTAAGCACAGCCATTGTTGTCATTTGTGAAGGCCAGGCCCCCCAATGGTAGAGATTGCAAAAGGCCCTGCTGTTAAACTACATTTCCCACACTGCCCAGCTGCTCAGTAGCCAAAATGGCTGAAGGATCCCTATAGCTATCTGTAGCCGTCTTCATCTAAATATAAAATAAACTGATTGAATCTACAGAGGTTTCTAAAGAAGGCAGTAAAGCAATAAGCAACTTTTGCAAAGCCAAGAGAACATGAACTACTTAAAAACCAATCATTTCACTTTGGCCTGATTGCCATGAACAAGGCACTGGGGTAGCCAGCCACAGCCAGCCAGCCCTTTACGACAGTAAGTAATGATAACATTAAATTATTGATTTCATCTGCAAAAAGGAATAAATTGACGGATGTGTTTTGAAGATCCCTCCAACTCAGTAGAGGAAGCAAATGGATGTCAGGAGAGTTTGGATGGCACCTTTCTGCCCAGAAAAAAGGGGGTCGGTTTAGATATTCCTTGATGGGGTTTGTACTATGATTTCTGTTCTCCACCAATTTAACACACTTTGTGCCACACAAACAAAGTTTCTGGAACTTTCAAAGTAAAGACCACCCAATGAAACAGGAAATAACACTTCAAACCAGGAGCTGATTTTCTTTATTATTAAAAATGTTTTTTTATAAAATCTTCAAAAATTGGCCAAAAATCCAAGGATAAGCCAAATGTTACGAAATTTAGTGACCTAACAGTGGATTATGTGTTTTACTATTGTGGCAAGTTTCACCAGGATTGGTCTAAATATGAGGGAGGGAAAATCCCCTGAAGTTTCCTCAGTGCCAGTGCTGATTTTTTCCTACTGCTCATACATGTCTGCTATTAACGAAGCGATTCGGAAGTTTTGGAAAGTTTTGAATTTAAAAAATAAATAAATTTGGAAGTGACTTTAGAATTGAAACACCAGCGCCCCCTACGAGCTTTGAGCTATTTTTTTAATCAACCAACCTTAATATGTGTACATGGTTTTTATAAACATGCGTGCATATCCTGTTGCTGAAATTCAGCATTGCAAGTTGAGTCTCCCTTATCCAGGAGTGTTTGGATTTTAGACTTTTTTTGGATTTTGAAATACCTGTATTTGCATATATATACATAATGAGGCATCTTGGAAATGGGGCCCAAGTAGAAAGATGAAATTCATTTATGTTTCACATGCGCCTTATGTACATAGCCTGAAGGTAATTTTATATATGATTGGAAAGACCAATAGCCACCTTGCAAAATGGTAAGTATTAGGGCTGGGCAACCACGGAAAAATTTGTTTCTAAACTCGATTCATTTTTAGGGGGGTTTTGCGTTTCGATTTTTAAAAGAATTCCGAAATTTTCCTTAAAAAAACTTCGTTATTTATGAAATTTCGTAAATTACGAATAAATTACGAATCGATTTTGAAACAATTACGAATCGATTCATTAATGGCGGGCGCGATCGCGCAATACGCTAAAAAACCCTCCAAATGGGACAGGAAGCTTCCCTCTCCCTCTGTTGTTGACTGTTGGTGTGATAATTTTTTTTTCACTGAGAAAACAAATACAACGACTATAAAACTTGCACCAGACATGCGGAAATAATAACGAAACGATTTCGAATCAATTACGAATCGATTTCGAAACAATTACGAAACAATTACGAAACGAATTGAAAAATTGTTTCGTTTTTTAGTTGCTCCTGAATGGTTCAATATCGCTTCGTTATAAAAAAAATAACGAATTAATAACGAATTACGAAATTAACGAACGAAATCGCCCAGCCCTAGTAAGTATCTCACTCAACCGAAGGTGTTGTAAGCTCTGCCGAAATCCCTTGAAGGTTGCAACTTTTCCGGTGCAGCAAAGGTGGGTAAACTGGGAGGTTTTGGGTCCTATTTTGAGAATCATCCTCTGTTTGAAGCCATCCTGTTCCAAGGTACCTTTGACCTTTTAGTGATTGGACTGCAGCTCCCATCCATTCTAGCCAGCATAGCCAGTGGTGAAGAATGATGGAAGTT